TCCTTGATCTCTTGAAAAAGTAAGAAACAAACTGTTGTTGCTCGCTCTACTGCCGAAGCTTAGTACAGTGCTATGGCTCATGCTACTGCTTAACTTGTTTGGCTTCGTTGTCTTCTCTCTGATTTGGGTGTACCTCAGTCTTCTCCGACCTCTCTCTATTATGACAACCGCAGTGCTATTCAGATTGCCCACAATACTATCTTCCATGAACGGACAAAACACATTGAAATTGATTGTCACTTTGTCCGACAACATCTGCAGTCTGGCTCTATCTCGCTTCCTTTCGTCTCCTCGACTTTGCAACTTGCGGACTTCTTCACCAAGACTCACACTACTGCTCGATTTTAGTTTCTTCTTAGCAAACTCTCAGTATTTTCTACTAAAACACCTTGAGTTTGAGCGGGGGTGTGAGAATATATTGTATATATGGCATGATTGTGTATATATGGCACATTAGGAATTAGGCAAGATTGTGGTGTAAATAAGAAACTTTGTATTTCCTTTTTCAGTCATAGATTTAGGGCTATATAAACTGATGAACTCTTTATAAACAAACACAATTGAATATACAGTTTCATTCAGAAAACTTACAACATATGCTACCTAGGAGAATTCAGTGGTAGTTTAGGATTGAAAGACGAGTACTCTGTTTAAGCTTAGTGAATTTTCACCTTCCCTTTTTTCCTTTCTATTTTCAAATGTCTTTGGCAAGGTGCATTTTGAGCTGAAAGGAAAGGAAAGGAAAGGAAATGATTTGATATTAAAAGTTGCATTTTCCATGTTTGGCATGAATGGAAAAGGGCAATAGAGTCAAGTTTTTGTTCAAAACATTAAAACATCTAACAGTGATAGGACTTAAAGGGAAAGAAGAACAATGAAGTACATAAGATTTTATTTGTCGTCTTATTCCAATTCTACCCTTCCATCATAACAAACATAACAAGGATATAGTAATGTAATTGATTCCATTCCATTAGTAAACTTATCCAACCTCCCTTGCACTAAAGCAAACAACACTAACGTAGATGGGGTGTGGACACAAAAATAATCAATGGTAACATATACATTTTTAGTATAAAAGAGATGGCAACATCATTTTTTATCAATATGACTACCGTATGACTGATGGTAAGGAGATAAAGTGTCATGTAAATTTAAACATTAAGAAAGCATAGTGTAATTATGCCGAACTTGTGGAGCTTTCCGTATTTTTTCTAAATTTTAAGGAAGGTTAGTGTAATTTACCCCTTTTTTGGGGATCAGATTTCTTTCCATTATTTTTTTTTCATTATCTTTCTTTCCCCTCCCATTGCAGTTTCTGGTATGTCAAACACACCCTTCGGTTTATCCCGAACCCTGATGAAAAATATAAAAATGCTGCAGAACACCATTCCAGCAGTCATTCAAAATGGTATTTTTCTGAAAGTGACTCCCAAAGACATACCCTTGCTTCAATTTTTTTATTTTTTTATTTTTTTTTGGGGGGGGTTGGAGTTTGGTTCTTACCACTGTTCCAGTAACCAGAATATACAGATCTGTAGGTGCTTCATTCTGCAAAATCACATCTTCTTTGGGAGGAAAATACTCGGCTTTCATCTCTGAGACCTAAAAATTTCAAAACATCAGGATCTGAAGGAAACATGAAAGCTTACTAAATATATTATTAAAATGTGCTCAGATGGATCTTACATACAAATGTGCTTCCTCTTTCATCACACCCACACAAGTTAATTGAAAAGAAGCACAATTTGAAATCTTCACTCTCAAACTTTTCAACTCTTTGAAATTTTCCCTCCATACACCACAAAAGACAATGAGGTAATGCTAGTAATTACCAGTTGAAAAAGTAAGTCATTTGATACCCCACGGAACAAGTACACCTTGTCAACAACAGAATAGAAGAGAAAGTGAGAAATGCTTGATCGAATGGCTTTAGGAAGTGCTTCAAGAGTCTCTTGTTGCTGCAGCCCTTCTGAATCAGTTCTGTACCTCAAACACAAGTGAGCAAGCATCTGATCTTGCAGGCGAACGGGTAGTTGGTTCCTTTGTGCAAAACTTGATGCAGCTTGAATAGTATCCCTCTGTACAATACTCCCGTTACATCATATTGAAATGAAAAAGTAGAAGCCATAGAGATATTATCAATAACACAACAAAGAAACTAGTAAAATCACAAGAACATTTATTCCTTGACACTGCCCTTTATCATGGTAATAATATACTTTTTTGATGTATGAAACTTAGAATTCTAACAGACAGGAAACCATATATATGGTCATTTCAGAGATTTAGTGCATGCAATCTGAATAAAAATTGTTATGCATTTATATTTTTTACAAGAAAGTTTCTTGGTACATTCAATAAATTTTTGTTTGGGCAACTTCATCATAAAATTTATCAATAAGATGTGTACTTCAAGAACTTAGAAAGAGCCATTGCAGCTCGGATACAGCACAAGTAACAATTAGGACTCCTACAAATACAATCTAAAAAAGAAGTCCTTGGCTCCAACGGTGAAGTGATCTAAGGATTTTGTTAAAACCTACCAAAACCTCCCACTACACCTACTCCACCCACTTCACCTACTTCACCTACTACTCCACCTACTACATACCTACCTCCTCTAATCTTCTATATATAGGACTCCTCTTTATACATTGAATTTTAACATGGTATCAGAGCAAGGTTAAGCACTTAGGCCAAGTTTGGGTAGTTTAAAAAAAGCCAAAAAACCAAAAAGTTACTCAAAAAGTTAAAAAGTCATCACTATTTACCAAAAGTCAACAATTACGGCTGCACAATTCCCGATTCTAATTTTCTCCTACAAACTAATTTTTACAATTTTTTATTACACATTTTTCTATAAAAAGTCAAAAAGTTAACCCAAATATTCATATTTTCAACCTTAACTTTTTAGTCTTTATCAATAAGATGTGTACTTCAAGAACTTAGAAAGAGCCATTGCAGCTCGGATACAGCACAAGTAACAATTAGGACTCCTACAAATACAATCTAAAAAAGAAGTCCTTGGCTCCAACGGTGAAGTGATCTAAGGATTTTGTTAAAACCTACCAAAACCTACCACTACACCTACTCCACCCACTTCACCTACTCCACCTACTACTCCACCTACTACATACCTACCTCCTCTAATCTTCTATATATAGGACTCCTCTTTATACATTGAATTTTAACATGGTATCAGAGCAAGGTAGTATTTTTCGCTTCACCGGCGGGCGGCAACCTCGCCTTGGCCGCCCACCGGACCTCAACCTAATCTGCTAGAATTTTCTACACATACCTTGAAATTTCTTCGAGTCCACCACCACTGCCCCTCCTCTCACTGTTGTCCTCCCATACACCACCGTCTCGGTCGTCTTCATCTACCACCACTGTTGACCTTAACCCGTCGCTGCAGTCCCTTCACTCTGCTCAACGGCTGGACACACACACACTGTCGGCACCATCGCAGCCACCTTCGGCATGGCCAACCTCATCGCCCGCCCCTTCGGCGGCTTCGCTTCCGTATCTCCACCATTGTTATGAAGCTGTGAAATCGAAAACACATCTTCAACATTCCAAGAAAAGCGCAGAGAAAGAGAGAAAGAAACCAGAACCTTGGGTTCTTCCATAACATGGTCTTGTTCTTTGATGATTTCTTTGGAGAAAGAAGAAGAGATTGTAAAGAAGAAGATGAGAGAGTGCTGATTATCTGAGATGGGACTGATTTGTAAGCTTGTTTCTTCGATTTCGCCATTACAGAACACAAAACAGAGACCCTTGAGGGCCTTTGTCTTCTCTCTCTGTTTATTGGTGAGATTTTCTTTGGCTTTCTTGGAAAGTTTTCACTTTTTTGACTAAAGCCACCGCCTTACACACAACCAATTTTTTTTATTCATTTTATCATCATCATCATGTACCCCACTCTCTCTCTTTCTCATTTTTTCACTTTCCAACCCACCAGCGCACATGCTTTCCTCCTTAATATATTATTATTATTATTATTATTATTATTAAACCCACCAACAAAAAAATAAATAAATAAATAAATAAAAATATATATATATATACCGAACACCATTGCCGATTTTCACAAAACAGTGAGACAAGAAACCACGTGAACCACTTTCCTTATTTCCCCCACCTTTCATTTTGATTTCAAATATCTTCTTATTATTTCTTTCTTTATTTTTCTTTCACATTATTTTTTAAACTTTTTCAAATTCCATTCATACCATATAGCTTTGCACACCACACCATATTTTATTCATCTCAGGGATCCACCCCGATCACAATTTTACACACAAAAAAAAAAAACAAAAACAAAAAAAACAAAAAAAAAAAAAATATGTAGCCAAGTTGCAGTCCCTAAAATAATTGAATGGGAAAAAATTTCTTCGCCGGTCTTTTCTTCTTGCCTCCGTCCTGGGCGGCCCTTGCCGGTGTTGCCTCCGTGTTTCCCACTCCACTGGGCATGATCACTACTCCCTGCTCCTCCACTGCAGCATATGGTGGTCCTCCAAATCGGAACATCACGGTGGCCTTCCGCTTCAGCTCCTTATTTTCCGCCTTTAGCACACTTATCTCTGCTCGCGCATCCTTATACATGCGCTGGAGCAGAGCCAGTTGGGCGTTTAACTGCTGCACCTCATTTGTCCTACTCTGAAGCCGGTGCGACAAGTTTGTGACCGCCGTCATGGTCTCCACACATGACTTCAATGTATACTGATTGGACTCAATATCCGTTTGCACTGCCATTTTTTTCTCCACAGACCGCATCGGAAAGTTCAACGAAGCAAAACCAGAGGTGTTTGGTTGAGGTTCACTGGCCACCGCACCCGTTATCTCTCTTGTTGACTCGTTGAGGTCCGGAAAGAGAGTGAGCAGACCACGGGAAGACGAGGCCATTTTCTGGGCAACAGAGTGTTACAGAGTATCTCTCTCAAGCCAACGAAGAGTTTCTCAGAGGTTCTTAGCCAATTTTTTGTCTTAGCCTCTGCCTCTGCCTCCGCCTCAGCCTCCGTCTTGGTTAAATAGCCAAGGCAGATACGCGCATCGCGCGCCACTTGACGCCAGATGACAAAACGGGCGCGCAAGCCAAGGTAGTCACGCGCCTCGCCATCATGTCCGGCACACCTTTTTATGGATTGGGCACGCCTTTTGATGACACGCCTTTTGAAAGATTGGACACACCTTTTGAGGGTGCGACTCTTCCAACGGTCCGACATGACCCCATAAACTGTTCCGACATTGATTCCGGTTAGCTTCTCCATCGGTCCGGTGTGACCTCGTCAACTGTCCAGACTTTATCTGCTACAACGGTCTGCCACAACCATCCAGTGTCCTCTACAACGTTATGACACAACCATCCAGTGTCCTCTACAACGTTATGACACACTCTACAACGTTATGACACACCCATCCAGTGTCCTCTACACCGTTATGACACAACCATCCAGTGTCCTCTACAACGTTATGACACAACCATCCAGTGTCTTCACCAACGGTCTGACCCGGCCATACAGTGTCTCCTATCCTCTTTTATTTTATGTATTCGTCTATTTTCTTGTTTTGTTACTCTCTCCAAACTCAAGTTGGTTAGTTCCTATCCCCCTTGAGTTTGCGGGGGGCTGTTAAAACCTACCAAAATCTACCACTACACCTACTCCACCCACTTCACCTACTCCACCTACTACTCCACCTACTACATACCTACCTCTCTAATCTTCTATATATAGGACTCATTGTAAACATAACATATCAATCAATAATACAATTTCAAGACCTATAAAGCTCATCTGACAAAACGTGTTCAAAAAAACCTTTGTAAACTTAATTAATAAAGAAGAATTACTCACAAATTGCCTAGTTCGACTTGTAATATGGACAACCAAGTTGGTCATGTTTCCAATGAGATACGATGTCAACCCAAGGTTGAAGAGCATGTAAAAGATGTCAAAAATCATCTCCTGCGTATTCACTGGATGCAAATCACCATAGCCAGTAGTTGTTAGAGTGGTGATGGACCAATACATTGATGTCACATATCGAATCCACAAACTCTTCTCATGAAAGTTCCCCATTGCAAGTCCAATCCATGTATTTTTTGGATCTTTGTAACGATCAGCAAGGCGATAGTAGAAGCAGCCAGCACAGTGAACGGCTAAGAGAGTTACCTACAAGACATCATTAGAAGACTAGTAAGATTGATAATCTTCAAAAGTCCTCTATTTTGTGGAACCAAATAATCTTACAGATACTTACACATATAAGTTTTGAACATCGAACCCAAAAATAGCTGAAGTTCCTATCTTTCTCCAATCTGAGATATTATAATTAAAAAAATACAAGAACATAAACAAAATAATGAGATTAATACAAATAACATATCTCATAAATGACAAATATTTTTATTTATATATACATTGATAATAATAATGAGGCTATACTGGAATCAAGAATTTTTTTTCCATTTGCATAATAACATTGCCATTACCTTCAAAATATGTTGAAAATAAGGTTTATGACAATATGTTGTTTATCTTTGTTCCAGAAAACAACTTCCCATGGAAATAAATAAAAAATTGAAGCAGTTCTTATTATTCATATTATTTATCTATGGCCTGCACTACTTTCTATGACTAATATAAATGAAATGACAGAGCTTATATAAATTTTGAAGTAATTGTCTACATTGCAACAATTATAATGAAAACTTATTAAGAAATGATTACTAGTGAGTACAATTTAAGTCACCAGTCCATTGAACTCAAAGTTCGTGAAATATTGTATCAATATTCGAATAAACTTGCGTCTTAGGATAAACAAACTTGATAATTCTAAATGGAAACACTTTAATAAGAAAAAACATTTGCTTGGTTATTTCACCTTGCAAACATGGCACCCACACGGCGAAGGCGCCAAAGACGAAGCATATTGAAGTAGCCATATGCCTGAAGAGGATTAGGTAGAATACTCCTAGCAACCTCAGCAGGGATTGTGGAAATCACATCAAACGCCAACCAGGTTTTTGCATATCTCCAAGCAATCAACTTTGGCTCATCAACGAGAAGGTAAGTGGTTTTATCAAGGTATGCCACGAAGAAGGTCAAAACAATATCAATGGCAAAAAATCCATTCACAATGTTATCACTGACAGAGAGAGGTCCCCTTGGTGTATCTAGGAATCCAAATTCAAAAGGGGACACCCATGCTGTGTAGAAGACCAGAACTATCAGTAATGTCTCCCACAGCCTGCATCATAAAACACAAAATGAATACAACAGAAATTATCCCAGTTTCCCTGCATGTGATTGTGAAAATATACATTCATGCCATCAAGCAACAAGATAATTTAAATCAAAGTTTTAAAAGTCAATCTCGAGGCAAGGCAACGGCAAAACAAATTGAAACTTTGATATTTAAGCGACATCCCCAAAGGCTTGTTGTGCATCACAGTTTAAGACCTGTACCTTAGGTGTGTCTTATACTCCTTTCGTGCATAAACATAAGAGGAGTATGCATTAATCTAGTACAATCTTAAAATATTTTATTTATTTACTAAATATAAAAATTCAAATGATCACTCCTTGAGGCTTACACCTTGCCTCACAAGGATAAAATGTGTCGTGTCACCCATTCGCCATTAAAAACTTTGATTTAAATGCAAATAAATGTGTTTCTCAATAAAAATAAAATAAAATAAATAAGAATAAAAAAATTTATAAACCAAATAGAATGTGACAACCAAATCATTCGCAATTTAAAGTATGAAACCTAAAATGAGTTTTAGATTCTTAGGGCTGGAATCCTAAAACCCATTTACAAATACAGAGTCATATAATATGTTCAATAAAAGAAATGAAACTTCAACAAAAAAAAAAAAAAGAAAAAGAAAAAAAAGACATAGCTAGGAAGCAAAACTAAAAGGGAATAAAATTTTAATCATTCATAAATCTCAGTGAGATCATTGTAACAATTTAACTGAAAACTGCACAAAATAATTTAATCTAATTTGCTAACCAGAAATCAAAACAACACGTTCATTAAAACAAATAAATAAATAATTGGAAGCATCACAAGAACCATTAAAAAAACATATCAATCAAAACACACTAGGAATTTGAAAATCAACCCAAAGCGTCAACCAAATATTTCAAAAAAGGAAACACTATTGCAGACTTGAAAACACAGACCACATATATAAATAAATACCTTCATCGCACTTTTTTTGCTTTCCAATAATACCCATAAATATATTATTAAAAATTCAAAACCCAACTTCATAATTGATGAAATCACCCATCTCTCTGTTTTTGTATTGACCCATTAGCACTCTCAAGTAGAAGAAATGAACCCATACTTTGAAAAATGGAAAAAGGAAGAGGAAAAAATTGCATTGAGAGAGAGAGAGAGACCTGAAACGGGCATCGAAGGGGGAGACAACGAAGCGACGAAGCTTGGTTTTGCGATTGGAATGAGCACCGAGAGAAGGAAGGATACCACTGGAGAGGCTGTAAGAGCTTCGACCGTCCCTTGAGAGATGTTCGTGTTCCAACTCGCTGTGCATTTGCAACCCTCCTCCTCCTCCTCCTCCTCCTTTGCAGCTTCCATACATTTGTTCGTTCAGCACCACCTTCTTCTTCCCATCCGACATCTCTCTCCCTCTCTCCGCAATGTAAATGGTCTCTCCCCCCTCTCGACCTCTCCCTCTCCCTCTATATCGTCACGTCACCTGACTACGCCCTCTCTCTCTCTCCCCTCTGTTTTGGTTTCGTTTCTCTCTGTCACACACACACACATAAAAGTGTGTACTCTCTCTCTCCAACCACCATTAATATGATCTTGAAATTGAATCCGTCATTAGTGTCGCCTCTCTCTCTCTCTCTCTCTCCCTCTCTCCCCTCCCTGTACATCTGTTTTACATATTTGATTGGATGAAATTACGATCGGTCGCACTAAGGCACCGTTTGGGAAGCAAGGTTGGAGGTTTTTTTTTATTATTATTTTAGTCACAAAAAATAAAATAAGTTATTTTAGTTATATTAAATAAAATATCACATTTAACTCATAATTATAACACTCTTCTTTTACAAAAAAATTTAAAAATGTCAAAAAGTCCTTCACAAATCAAGCTTTTTAGCCCAGGTTAAAATAGCTAAAAAAAGTCAAACCAAGCCTTAGAATTATATTATTATTATGGAAAAATTATTTATAAGTCTTATTAGAGAGATTTATGTTATATATGATCTTACTAAAAAATTTATATTCTCATAAGTTTTGTGTGAAATTTATTGACACATTTATCCTCAATATTAGTTGTTAATACCATAAATAATGGTAAAACTATATATAGGAAATTGAATGTTATCATAGATTAAGTTTGCGAAATATAACGTGACACCTACATAAATGTAACGTAACGTGACATCTACATAAACGTAACGCAGGTTTTTGAGTTTTTAAATTGAATTACATAAACGTAACGTAACGTGACATCTACATAAACGCAACGCAGGTTTTTGATTTTTTAAATTGAATTACATAAACGTAACGTAACGTGACATCTACATAAACGTAACGTGACAACTACATAAACGTAGCGTAACGTGTCACATTACGTTTCGCAAACCTACTAAGTTTTTTATTTTTTAAATTGAATGTGAAAATATTACTTGTTCGTGTATTTTGAAATTCACATTCATATAGATATGATCTATGGTAACATTCAATTTCCTATATATAGTTTTACCATTATAGTGTATAAAAGTATATTAATACCATTTATTTACAATTCATATGATCTTGTGAAATACATTCCTATCTAAATATGACTTGAAACTCTATAAGAAATTACACAGGACTTAACATAGCATAAGTGTCTGAAATAAGACTTATAAATAAGTCTCCCCATTATTATTGACTCCACTTATTATATAAAATATAAATACTTCAAATTTTTAAAATTATATCACATCATCTGTTAATATATTAATTAGTACATTAATTAATATATATAGCATTATTCGACTATGAGTGAAAAAATTATTAACGTAGTGGTATGAGATTGAAAATATAAAATAAAATGTGTTTATTTGTACATTAGTGTGGTAGTATTAATTAGGAAAAATGTTAGGGATACTAACAATATTACTAACACGCTCACAAGTTGATGTAGGTTCTATACTAAGTGATAGTTAATCTTATCAAAACTTGTGAGTGTGTTGGTAAGATTGTTAGTAAATGTGTAAGCATCCCTAACATTGTTGATTAATTAGTTAGGACTAAATTTATAAACAAAAATGTCTGGGAGCTCCAAACCAAGAGCTCTAAAGGAGCTCTAATAGCTGGGGTCCATCTATTGATGTGATGTTTTGGCCTTTTCTTTTCTTTTCTTTTTTTTCTCATTGCCACATAAATAGAACCTAATTTAGAGCTCTATGCGTTTGATTGGGCGATTAAGGGAACTATTTACTATTCGTATTATAATCCATT